CTTTTCTTCTCTTCTTTCCTTCTTCCTTTCTTTCCTTCTTGAATTGGGCTTCCCATACTGCTGCTGTGGGATGTCACCAGCCCATGCCACCTAGGAGTGTCACTGGTGCTCGGTGGTGCCTGGCAGGGCACGCACAGAGGGGCTGGCCTGCTGCAAAGAGCTTTGTGGTGCTGGAGGAAGCAGCAGGCAGAGATGGCCTGGGGGGATGAGGTCTCCTGCTCACCCAGCGTGGGCCTAGCTGGGCTCCCCAGTCCTGCTGCTCCCCTTGGCTGGCTTGTGACAAACATCACTTTCCTGATGGGCACTGGGAGAGGACGGAGGGTTCGGGGGATGTGGGGTGGTTTGGTGGCTGCTGTCAGGTGCTGGGGTCAGCACAGAGGAGGGGGCTGAGGGAGGTGTGAATTCCATCCTGGAATGGAGGGCATATGGGGGATGAGGGAGGACTCCTGGGGACATGGAGCATATGCCCTGCAGATGAAGGGCCTTGCCTGGGCACCGTGGGTGCTCCCACAGTGGGATGGGAGCCTTCTCAGGATGTGGGAAGAGTGCACCCTGTGAGCTTGGCTGCTCACCATGGTGTGTTAGGCTGTGATTTGGCACTGCCTGATGCCCCTGGAATGTTCTTCAGGCACAGCCCAGCTGAGGGAACCTGAAGACTACAGCAGGCTGAGGACCAGGCTGATGGTCCCCAGCCCCTGCCTCTGCTACCCCTTGAGAGAGTGATAGCAGGAGGGGGAGGAGAGACCTGGAGAGTGGATCTGTTGTGGGAAGGGCAGGGGAGGGCTCTTTGGAGGTTGTTTGCTCTGCTCTGGTCCATGCCAGAACCAGGGGATGTTCCCCAGGTCCCCGTGGTCCCCCTGGGGTCAGCACTAAGGACCCAGCTGGGAAGCAGATTCCAGAGCAGATCCCAGAGCAGCCCACTCAGGGTGTCCAGCCCAGCAGGGACAGTCCTGCTGCAGCTCACTGGGGTGTGTCTCCATGAGATAGGATGTGGCTCCTGAATTGCTCCATCCAGGGCATTGATGAGGAGCCCAGATCCTGCTGCCCACCAGGCACGGGGCACACAAAGCACAGAACTGATTCTGTGCTCTTCCACCAAGGAATCCTTTCACGATCCATTCATTTGCTATTGCTGCTGCAGCTGCTCCCCAAGCTGGTCAGGAGGAGGCCCAGGGCCTCCTGTGTGTGTGTGAGTGAGGAATGGCTGTGGCACAAACACAAGGGCTTGGAGCAGTGTCCATTCCCTGTCCCTTCCCCGGGCCAGCCTGTCCTGCAGGACTATCCCAGCCTGTCCCACAGGCCAAGCTGGGCTTTGCTGCCATCCTGCCTGGCAGGATTCCCCTGGGAGAAACCTGAGCATCCTCTCAGGCAGTGTCAGTGGTCACTGGGCATGCTGAGCTCCCCTGGAGCAGGGTGTCCCAAACCCTGATTGCATCCCTCAGTCTGGCAGCGTGGGGACACCAGCACCCCCCTGCTCGAAGACTGAGGGGGCCTGGGTGCCATCCTGGGGTGGGCTCTCAGCTCCAGCCCTGTTCCTGCTGGGGGCCCCAGTTCCAGCTGGGGACAGCAGCCCCCACCTTGGAAGGACCAGCTTTTCCTGCTGTGGTCCTGCCTCGGTGGTGCTTGGGGTCCGCATGGTCCCCGTGCCATTCCCCACACACAGACACACACTGCCCCAGCAGTGTCCCCAAGGGTGGGTCTGTCCCACTGCTGCCCCCGCTTCTCCTGGCATTCATTACCTGGAACAACAACACCACTCTCAGTGCCCCACGGCTCCTCTGCTTGGCTCCTCCCCTGGCTCTGCAACCCTCGGAGGGCAATGGTTCCCTCTCCCCTCTGCCTCTTCCTATGGGCTCCCCGGGCAGGGTGGGGGTCACTGGGACACAGAGGGAAGTGGCAACAGGTCTTTGACCTGCCAGGAAGTGGGAGGGATGGAGGGATGGATGGATGGATGAATGATGGATGGATGGAGGGATGTGTGATGGGTGGATGGATGGATGGATGGATGGATGGTTGGATGGATGGAGAGACATAGGAAGCAGTGGTGTGTGAGGAATGTGCCCAGAGCAGATAACCCCTTCAGGCTGGGTGCTGGGGCTGCTTCTGCATTGCGCCACAGAGGGTGCAATGGTGACCCACCAACCTGGCAGCTGGGCTGGGCCTGGAGAGCCTGCTGAAGTGAGGGGAGGTGGAGGAGCACAGCCACAGTGCCTGAAGTGCCGAGACATCCATCCCCATGGCCCTGGGACTGGCACCCCACCTGGTGCTGGGCTGGGCATCTGTTCCTGTGCCTGGATATGCAGAGAGGACAGGCAGCAAGTGGGTGCTGGGGAAGGGGAGCACTGCCTGCTCTGTGACTGCCCATAGGACTTGTCAGCACTCAAGTCCTGCCCATCCCCATGCCTGACCCTGTGACTGGCTCACCTCCCTGTGTTCCTCAACTGTGTGACAGCTGGGGAAACTGTGTCCCTGCTTGGGCCCCCTGGCTTGGCCTGTCCCCAACCCTCCTGATGCTCCTGCCCCCAGGTACTACCCCAGCCACCAAGATGTCCAGCAAACGTGCCAAAGCCAAGACCACCAAGAAGCGCCCCCAGCGCGCCACCTCCAATGTCTTCGCCATGTTCGACCAGTCGCAGATCCAGGAGTTCAAGGAGGCCTTCAACATGATCGACCAGAACCGTGATGGCTTCATTGACAAGGAGGATCTGCACGACATGCTGGCTTCCCTCGGTGAGGACACCCTGCCCCCTCTGCCCCCAGCACCACCTCGAGAGTGGGGAGAGCTTCAGGGGGACCTTGTTCCTGCACCCAGCGCTGGACACTGGCTGTCCTGGGATGCCTCAAAGCCTGGGGGGATTTCTCTGCTCCACCACTGCAGAAGGGGTGTTTGTGAGGTGCTGAGGGCAGCAGCTCTGTGTGCTGCTCACAGGAGCACTCACTGGAAGGGAAGAGACCCTTAGGGCTGGAGAATCTCTGTCCTGGGAGCAACCACCAGCTGCAGCCATGGAGTGTTTCAGTAGTCTCACCCCAGAATGTCACTGGGGCTGTCCCATGGGGAACAAAGCCCTCCCATTGCTCTCAGCTGGGGTGACAAAGTCTGGTCCCCTTGCTGGTGTGATACCTGGACTGATTGAGACTTGCAGATCTGTACCCACTCCCTGCCCCAAGCCATTCTCCTTTGCTGCAGACCACGGCTCCCTCCTCCCACTCCCAATGGTACCTCCACTGCGCTTTGGGAGGTCTGTCAATGATTGACCTGGCAGCCAAACCTGTTCTGGAGGTCCTGCCTGACCGGGGGAGAGATCTCCCTCCTCCCAGGGAGCTGGAGCTCTGGGAGCAGAGAGGGGCCAGTGCTGGGGGCACAGAGCTCGGCAGAGCAGCTGAATCATCCCTGGTGCACCCATGGTGGGAGCAGTGCTGGGGACATCAGCAGCACGAGGTTTGTGTGAGGACATTGCTGCCCCTCTCCTTGGAGCTGTCAGGGGGATGGGAAAAGCCATGGATCTCATTCCAGTAACCGTCAAATTAATTACTGTACCTTCCCCAAGGCAGAGCTTTTTCCCAGGTGTGGATAAAAGCATCGGGAGAGATGCTGAGCGGGGAGCTCTGGGCACTGCAAAAGCTCCCTTCCCATGTTCGTGGGGTGGGTGAACAAGAACCAGCAAATCCATTTGCAATGGATAAAAGCCATTCCAGCTGTTTGCATGGGCTGACCCCAGGGGTGGGAGCTGGGGGAGCAGGGCCCTGCATCCACCTCCTGCCTGTGTCCTGCAGGGAAGAACCCCACTGACGAGTACCTGGAGGGGATGATGAGCGAGGCACCGGGGCCCATCAACTTCACCATGTTCCTCACCATGTTCGGGGAGAAGCTGAATGGCACCGACCCCGAGGACGTGATCCGCAACGCCTTCGCCTGCTTTGACGAGGAGGCCTCAGGTACAGCACAGCCTCTCTGCCACACTGTTCCCTTGGGAACAGCTCCAGAGTGGGGTCTGACTCTCTCCAGAGTCTTTGGGAGAGGTGGGGAAGGTGCTGTGCTCAGCCCTCCTGCTGCCCCCTGCTATCGCTGTCCCCTGCCCTCCTTGCAGGCTTCATCCACGAGGACCACCTGCGTGAGCTGCTGACCACCATGGGGGACAGGTTCACCGACGAGGAGGTGGATGAGATGTACCGGGAGGCGCCCATCGACAAAAAGGGCAACTTCAACTACGTGGAGTTCACTCGCATCCTGAAACACGGGGCCAAGGACAAGGACGATTAGAGCCCAGGGCCATTCACCCCTTCTGCCTCATCCTCTTCACCCCTTCTGCCTCATCCTGTGCACACTCCCCGCCTCTTGGCCCTCCTTGCTGCCCCACAGCAGATTCCTCCCACAGGAAACACCTCCCAGGACCATCACCCTGCATCAGGACACGCTTGGAGGGGACACACTCCCATCACTGTGTTGCTGTGTGCCCATCCAGCCTCTCTCATCACCTCTCCCACCCACTGGGGCGCCCCAGCCTGGCTGTGACCCCCTCCCAGCAGCCGTTGACCCCCTCAAAGCCACCATGCTACTGTCCCAGGGCTGGGGTAAGCATCCCCTGCTGACCTGCAGGGATCTGGGCCAGCTCCAGCCTGAGCAAGCCCCATTCAGGGCCATAGCACAGAGGAAAAGCCTCTCTCCCTCTCCTCCCACACTCCCCTTCAGTAAAGAACCCTCACTTTGTTCCCTCCTCCCTGGCTGTTTTATGGCTTTAGAGCCTGAGATCTGAGGGATTTGGGAAGCTGAAGGGGTATATAAAGCCTGATGGCTGTGACAGATGTGTGTGCTGTGTGTGGCTGCCTCGTGACCAGTGCCGTGCTGTGCCCGGGGGTTTGGGAAGGTGGGTTTGGGCACTGCACCTCCTCACCTTGCTGCCCTTGTCAGCCAGGGCCCCTTCCAATGAGGCAGCCTGTTTTTGAAGACAAATTGCTCTCAAACGGTGTAAAATCAGCTTGAGCAGAGTTTTCTGTCTTAGCTGAAGGTTGTTCTGCTAGGCCCCTGTGCCAGGATGGGCTGAAATACACTTGGCAAGGTGCTCCCCACATCAGCTGGTCCAGGGTCCCAGGGGTTTGGCCACCCTTCTGTGTCACCCTGGATGGGTGGGAGAGCAAGAGGGCCAGAGACAGAGAGGATAAGAAATGGGGAGGGGGTTTGTCCCTTTGGTTTGGTTATTTGTCACCCTGACAAGGTTTGGGAGCATAAGGCATTCCCACCTTATGAAGCTGTGGTCTTAAAATGCTGCTTGAAGCCTGCACTGGAGGGAAGCATGAGTTTCTAGCAATTTTTTATTTAAAATGGGGGAACAAATCTACAAAACCTGGTGAAGGCATAGGGCACGGCGGGGATGCTCCCAGTGCTGGGAAAGCTTGGATAGGGTCTGTGGGAGCTCCATGGGCATATGCTGGGATCAGAGGCCGGGCCCCAGGTGATGCTCTCTCACCTAGGAGATGATCTATGAGTGAAAAGCTCCTCCTTAGTCTCAGTGCTTCTATTTTGCAGGCACTACCAACACTAGGAAAAAGAAACCAAATAGTCAGATGTGAAAGGGCTGAACCTGTGATCTCCAAAGAGTTCCCCAGGGTCAGGACTTGTGCTCTGCAGCAGTAGCCCCAAACCAGCCCACCTCCAGCCTCATGGGTACCAAGCTTCTTCCCTAATTCACTGCTGTGCCAGGAAAAACCTACAATTCTCCCACTGCCAGAGAGAATTCCCAGGCCTGAAGGCCCGGATGCTTTGTAAAACCTCCTTCACTGGGACACCCAGCAAAGTGATCCCACAGACATCACTTTGGGGCAGAGGAGCTGGTGCTGGAGCTGTGGACAGATGGGTTCCTGGGGCAGCTGCATCCAGGAGTGATGTTCAGCCTCCCTGGCCCCAAAGGATCAGCTTGTGTGACCATCCCAGTCCTCACAGTACCAGCAGTGGGATGGACTCACAGCTGGTCTGAGCTGGGAGCTGCCACAGGCTCCAGTATGGGGCTCTCAGAGGTGCTGCCTCAAGCAGCTGCCAAAACTGCTCGGTCTGAGCTGCCTCTTCACTGGTATGCCTGTGGTAGCACCGTGGGACTTTCAAACCTGAGGCAGAAAAGCAAAACAAATTTGTTATTGGACACTGGGGTATTTATGGGAAGAGTAAATAAACTTATTTCCCTGGCACAGGTTTTCCAGAGCAGCTATGGCTGCCCCACCCCTGGAAGTGTTCAAGGCCAGTGTTCAGGTTAGACAGGACTTGGAGCACCCTGGGATAGTGGAAGGTGTCCCTGCCCTTGACAGAGAGAGGAATGAGATGAGCTTTAAGGTCCCCTCCAACCCAAACCATCCTGGGATTTAATGAATCTATGAAGCCCCAAAACAATCTGGGCTCATGTGAACCTCATGAAGTTCAAGCAGGCCAAGTGCAAGGTCCTGCACCTGGCCCAGGGCAGCTCCAGCACCAGTACAGGATGGGGGCTGGGTGGGTTGAGAGCAGCCCTGGGAGAAGGACTCGGGGGTGCTGGTGGTGACAAAATGGATGTGACCTGGCCATGGGCACTGGCAGCCCAGAAAGTCAACTGTACTTGGGCTGCATCAGAAACAGCAGAGGCAGCAGATGGACCTGACCTGACTCATTTCAAAGGTATTAAATAGCAGCAAAATAAAGACATTCATTTCAGAAGTGTTCACTTGGGGCAGAGGGACACCAAGTCAGGTGAACCTTTTGGTTGGTCTAGAAGAGCTGCTCCCAGTGCAGAAGTGTCTCCTGAGCTTAGAGGGCCCCTCCTGTGTGTGTCACTTTGTGCCCGTGGCCCCTGGGGCTGTCCCTGGCCCCGTCCCCTCTGCAGCCTCCCCCTGGGTATTTATCCCCAGGGATGAGATGCCCTGAGCCTGCTCTGCTCCAGGCTGGGCAGTCCCAGCTCTCTCAGCCTCTCCTCACGGCAGAGATGCTCCAGTCCCTCCATCACCTTCCCGGCCCTGTGCTGCACTCTGTCCACTCTGTCCCTGTCTCCTGTACTGGGCAGCCCAGCTCTGGGCCTGGTCTGTGACACGGCTCCCAGTGCAGCCCAGGACCCCCTGACCACGGAGTGTTTGCTTTTCTCCAGTGCTGTGAGATCCATCCTGGTGTCCCCACACTCCTCTGGCCATATCCAGAGATGCTGGTTAGAGGAACATCAGAGAGGAAAAGGGGATAGCAGTGCCTGCCGAGAGAGGGTCTGTCTTGCCCTACGGCCTCCAGGAAGGAAACAGAGCAGAGCTTCCCCATGGGAAGGGTCAGGAGGAGATGGAGGGGCTGTAGTGCCCAAGAGAGGGGCTCATGTGCTGGAACCCAGTTCCCAGGACCAGTCCTACTGGTGGAATCCCAGCCAGGTCCAGTGGCCCTGAGCAGGGAGCAGGACCTGCTGCTGAAGCAGTGGCCCCAAGAGCAGGGCAGCAGCAGCCAGAACAGCCAACCACAAATCCGATTTTCCTTGCTAAAAATACAGATTGAATATCAGAGAGTGGGCAAAGGATGAAGAGAGTCCAGTCTGGGAAGGGTCGATACTCTGGGAGTCTGTCTGGGGATTCCATCATCCCCCTGGGGTTCCAAGCATCCCCCTGGGAATTCCAGATTCCCCTGGGAGTTCCCAGAATCCCTCTGGGTTTCCAGCATTCCCCCTCAGGCTCTTGTTGGCCGATTGTTGTTCAAATTGCTGAAGTTTAACAGTATTATCATGTCAATGGGCCCAGGCAGGGCTCAGCCTGGACAAGCTCCTAGTGGGAAGGGCAGGGAGATGCACCACAGCCCCTTCCCTGGCCCCTCATCCCAGAGGCTCCCTACTCCCCATCAGCTGGGAGCTCTCTGGAATGCCAGGGTGGCTTGTCCAGTGACTTAGGCTCCTTCCATGCTCTGCTCAGGCATCCAGTGGGATTTTTCCAAAGCTGATTCCACACTACCAGCCCAGGGAGCCAAGGCAGGTGGAGGGATCCGGGGTGGGGCTCGTGGCCCAGCCCTGAGCGGGTGGTTGAGCCCGGTTGTCTCAATTTGCTGGAAGACTAAACCAGCATTTTCCAAAAGGTGGAAGCAAAAGTAGACTGCTCAGGAGGACCATCCTGCCTGGGCACTGTGGCTGACACAGACCCCGGGCAGCGTCCAGGGGGTGTCTGGGGTGCTCTGGGGTGTCACACATCAGGCTGCAGAGGGAGCAGAGTGGGCAGGACGAGCCCACCCTGCCTGCTGATGGGCCTGGTTCGCAGCGGGCAGGAGCCAGCCTGGTGTGAGAGGAGCCCAGGGGATGCCCCTTGCCCCAGAGTGACCCTGCAGAGAGTGGGAGGTGCTGCCAGGGCTCCCCACACCCCACCTGTGCTTCACCATCCCCTGCTGCCTTGGCGTTCATGCAGCAATAGCAGGTTGGGGCACAGCTCCACTCAGGTCATGGAAGATTTAGGAGCAACGAAATAAATGATTTAAGGAGTTCTCTTTTTCCTATTTAATCCCTTATATCCATCCTGCTTTTCCCAGATCAAAAATTGACCATAAAAGAATAAGTTTTGTCGCTTTTTCTCAACACATGAAGAGATTCCTATCTTTTACCCTGCAAGCAGAAAAAAGGAGAGGGAGAGGAGCTGCAGCACAGCCTGCAGAAGTGGTGGAGCCTGGGAGGGCGCAGCTGCCCCCGAGGCAGGGTAACATCAGACCAGATCTTCGTGGGGAGAGGTGGAGCAGGACTCCGTGACTTTCGGGGTGCTGTGCCCCAACAGCACACAGCTTCCTGGGGGATGCACATGCCTGTGTTTGGCCTGGCAAGGATGAGTATGGATGTGCCCAAGATGGGGGATGGACATCCCGAGAAGGACATCCCCAAGAGACGCCCCCAAGACAGGGGCAGGGCTCTGGGCTGGCTGCAGGTCAGGGCTGTCTTGACTGCCCATGGTGGCACTTTCTCCATCCCAGGTGCTAGGATGTGGCACCACTGCTCAGAGCAGCTCCTCTCTCTCCCCACTGATGAAGACACTGCTCCAGGGGACCCATGGTGGACACATCCCCTTGGGCTCCACTGAGCACCTGGCAGAGGGTGACAGTGCACCCCAGCCCCACACCACAGAAGGACACAGAGCTGTGGTGGGGAAATCCCATGCTTGCCACATCCAGCAGCACATAAACAGAGTGATTTGGTCTCCAAAATTCTGAAGGTGACCTTGGGCTCTGCTCTGGTCATGGAGAGGAACAGGGAGAGCAGAAGGGCTTCCAGAGACCTTGGCCAGCCTGATGGTCGTCGCACAGCAAAGGTTCCACCTGGTTCCTTCTTGGTCGCCACCATTGCTTGGAAACACCTTCCTCTGTCATGGGAGCAGTGATGTGCTGGGCTTCTGATTTCCCATCTGGTAAGGACCAAACAAAGCACTGATGGAACGTCAGGGTGCTCTGAGGTCCCGGGGTTGTCACCCACACCTGCCCCTGCAGCTCCTGTCCCAAAGCTGTCCCTGTCCTCTGCCCACAGGCACCAGTAATCCCTGGGGCTCAGCTACAGGATTCAGCCAGAGGGAAGAACTTGTGCAGTGCCTTGTGGGCCACCCCTGTGTGGATGTCCCTGCGGGAGAGTTCCAAAGTGGGTGTCCCTGGGTGGGTTTCCTCAGGTGGGTGTCCCCAGGTGAGCATCTCTGGATGAGTGTCCCTGGGTGGGTGTCCCCAGGGGTGCCCCTGTGCGGATGCAGCTCCGCAGGGCCGGGCGGGTGCGGGGGCTCCGGGGCTGCCTCTGTCCCTGCCCCTCCCGCCGGGGGCCGTGTCCGGCAGCGGGGCCGAGCCCGGGGTGCGCCGGCGCCAGGTACCGGCCGGGACTCGGCGGGCGGGGGGACTCGGCGGGGCGGGGGGGCCCCGGTGCCCGGTGACAGCCGGGGGCGGGCGGGCCGGGGCCGGGGGCGGGGGGCCCGGCGAGTTCCTGCCTCCTCGGGAACAAAGGGAACTCTGTCTCGGCATCTGTCACCGCCGCCCACCCAAAACTTTCCGCCGCGCCCGGCTGCCCGCCCGCCGCCGCGGGACGGCCCCGCACCGGCCCCGGCCCCGAGACCCCGGCGCGGCCCATGCGAGCGCCCAGGCGGCGGCGGCGGCCCGGGGGTGAGCGCAAAGATGGGTCCCGGGGGGCGCGGGGGGAGCGGGGCGGCCCTAGCCTTTGTGCGGGACGGAGCGGGCCGGGCCGCGCCGGCGCCTCCCGAAGTTTGAGGGAGCCGCGGGCGGGGGTCCCGCCCGCCCCCGCTGCAACTCGGAGTTACGGCGGAGTTTGCCCGGCCGGGGATAACTTGGGGCCGGCGGGGAGTGCGGGGCCGGGGCCGCTCTCCGGCTCCTCTCTGTCCCCGCCGCCCGGGGGGCCGCGGCCGCCGCTGCCCCGCTTTGTGTTGGCGGTCCCGGCCCTCGCCGCCTGTTGCGGCCGGAGGGGCCACGGGGCCCGGCCCGCATCGCCCCGCTCCGCCGAGCCGAGTCCCCGGGCCGTGACAGCCGCCCCCGCCTCCATCCCCGCCGCACAATGACCCCGCGTGGTTCCTCTCCCACTCTCCAGCTCCGGCCTCTTTCTCCTGCTGAGATTGTTTTTGTTTTTAACTTCCCCTCCTCCTCCCACCCCACCCCATGCTTGATTTATTTTTTTTTTTTTTCCCCACTGCGGTGCCCCCCGACCCCCGAGTGCCCCCGAGTCCCGTGCCACGCGCTGAGCTCCTCCACACCCCCGGGGCTCTGTTCGGTGCTTCTGTTGTCCCGCCGGTGCTGGTCGTTTGTGTCTCCCCCCCCACCCCGGGAGTCTCTGCCTTGGGATTTCCCCCCAGGGCCCAGAGGGGGTGAGAGCCCCCGTTGGAGGCGGGGGGAGGTCGGTGGGAGGCCCCTTCCCATCCCCCGACCGGACACCGCCTGAAGCTCCCTTTGGTTCCCCCTCTCCAGGCTTCAGCCAGGGGGGTCCCGCCGGCAGCTCCACCATGTCGGACAGTGACCCGGGGGACGAGGACGGCGCCACATCCCCTGACCCCTCGCAGTGCAAGAGGAAGAGAAGGGGCAACCTCCCCAAGGAGTCGGTGAAGATCCTGCGGGACTGGCTGTACGAGCACCGCTTCAATGCCTACCCCTCGGAGCAGGAGAAGCTGAGCCTCTCGGGGCAGACCAGTCTCTCCGTGCTGCAGGTAGGAGCCGGCCCCTGCCCGCCGGGGACACCGCCGGGGACACTGCCATGGAGTGTGGGACAAGAGAACCCCACTGAGGATCCCAAAGGACTGGGCAGGCTGGGATCATTCGCCACTGAAGGGCAGCGAGGAGGCGAGGGAAGGGATGTTGGGGAAGGAGAGGCACCTGTGTGGAAGGGAGGGTTTCTTCTGGGGAGACATCTGAGCCCTGGGGACCAGCTCTGCTGGAGCAGAGCATTTTGGCCAGACGGAAGGTGGAAGGACTGGAGTGGCAACAGGTTGCATACCCTGTTATCAGTAAAAGCTGCACAGGTGGGAGGTTTTAGGGGATGCTACTTTATCCTGTTCCCCTGGACACCCCTAGGATGACCACCCCCTGCACACAGAGATGGGCAGAGGACAGCCCTGGGGCTGGGCAGGGCTGGGAGTTGGACTTGATCATCTTTGCGGATCCCTTCCAGCTCAGGATATTCTGTGATTTTAACCAGGAGGGAGAGGCTGGGCTGCACTTTGAGCCCCCATGGCTGTTAAGTGCTGGCTAGCACATATGGTCCCAGTTACATCAGCTGCATTAAGGGAAATCATGTGGAGGAGTCTCCCTGTCCTGCTCCTTAGTTGTGGGCTGATGTGGCACCATGGTGGGTGCCCAGGCAGGAGCCCTGGGCAGCAGTGGGGGTGAGCAGCACTTGTCCTTCCTCTTCTGGTGTGGTTCCTGCCTCCGTTTAGGGTGTCTGGGAGGGCCTGCCTGCAGCTGCTGTCCCTGTGCTCCACGCACAGGCCTGGTGCCCCGGGCCCCTCTCCCAGCCTGACAGGGTGTAGGCTTCACTCTGTTCTCTGGATCTGGGATGCAGGGCAGCAGGCGAGGGCCAGTGAGTTTGCTCCTCTCCTGGAGCTTCCTCTGTACCTCTGGCTCCTCTCCCTGTGGCTCAGCACAGTCCTGGCCAGCAGTCCCAGCCCAGACACGGAGTGTGGGCAGGGGCTGTCTGCTTCCTCTTCTCCCTGGCCAGCAAGGCAAACCTGCTCTTTCATTTTAATGCGTTTCTGTAAATATTGGCTGTGTCACAGAATTGTGTTCGGCAGCTGCTCTGAGGACAGGCTGGAGCTCCTGGACAGGCCTAAGGCTGAGTGTCGGGGGAGCAGCGATGGGCCTGGGGCTGTGGGAATTGGGCTTGTCCTGGCCCAGGTTGGCATGACAGTGCCTAGCACTGTTGAGGGTTGCCAGGGCTCAGGTGGGACTGGCAGGTGCCTAGCTGTCAGTGTCCTGAGCCCTGTGGGACCCAAGAGGGGGTTGGCACACAGGTGGGCTCATGTTGAGGTGTGACCCTGCTGTGTGCCAGCTGTTGTTTGCCCCAAGTGGCCCCCACAGCCAGTGTTTGTCCCCTGTACCTGCTGGGCAGGGGGTCCCAGCCCGATGGCATTTCCCAGTGGGGTTTCTGCCAGTCTGAGGGGATGCAGCAGGAATTCGTGGGGATGCTCCCTCTGCCTGTTGGGGTGGAGGAGTGGGACACCCCATGGTGTGGCTGTGGGGTTCAGTCTGTGATGCAGATCTGACCCCTCCAAAAAGCCTCTGGAATGCAGGGCTCTGCCACAGCCACTGTCCAACCCCCCCAGTTGTTTCTTTGTTCACCCCCCTGCCTGCTCCAGTGGCTTGGGGAGCTGGAGCTGGGCACTGGCAGCCAGGGATTTGGGAGAGCAGGAAGCCCTGTGCCTCCCTTGCAGAAATTCCAGCACTAGGAAAGTGGCACTTGCTCCCACTGAGGCTTCCTGGACAGCAACAGCTTCACAAGCCTGTGCCCTGCTGTGGGATGGATGGGCTTTTCCTCCCTGTGGAGGAGCTGCTGTTCTTGCAGTGCTGGGGGGACGGACGCTGCCCAAAGGGACAGAACGGAGTGTGCTGGTGGGAGGGAAAGCGGTGGCCATGATTAAAAACCAATTAAGTGCTTCAGAGCCAGAACATGTCCCAGTTCTGTGACAGTGCCTGCTGCCACAGTGGCTATGTGTGCCCATCTCCATGCTGCGTTCTCCAATGGGAATTGAATGCTGGAAGAAGCATGGTGATGGGGACAGGCAGAATTTTGGGGAGCACTGAGGAGTTGGGCTTTTTGTTGGGAATCCATCTCTTTGGTTGGGAATCACAGTGGTGGATGACCAGGATCATGTCAAGGGAACCCAGCTAAGGCTTGCAAGGGAGTGGGTTTGGAACAGAAAAGGGAGTTAAGGCTGGTGTATTTGAGGGTTTTAATGCCAAATATTGTCCTAAAGAAAAAAACGACAACTGAGATCTTGCTGTGATTGAAGTTGTGGCAAATTCTCTCTCCATGGGGGAAATATTTTCCATAGCTGTTGATTTAGGAAAGATCAGACTTTCCCCCCCCTCCCTTTGATTTATTCTAATTGTTTTCTAGGAAGAAGGATTTAGCATTTTATATAAAGATGCTGAAACAATCCATGGCTGAGGCTCAATAATGGCAAAGGGCTGCCAGATGTGCAGCCTCTGTGCTGTTCAGATGCTGTTTGGGAGAGCCTTTAGTGTGAGCTGTGACCCTGCTCGTGGAGAGGCACAGGAAGGTGTCTCTGCTGCCCCATTTCTGGCCCTGTTAGGGGCTGAGGGGCTGCAGTTCCATCACCTGATGCTTTCTAGGGTTTTCCATCCGTGCCACTCTATCTGCTCTGGCAGCCTTGGCGCTCCCATTCCGGTTGGCAGTGTGTTGGCATTGGCAGCAGTGTGGAAACAGGGATGAGCTCCAGGATGGGTCACCTGGAGAAGGAAGAATTTTCCCCAGCTGGGAACCTGCAGGATAGGCTCCGAGCTGGCTCTGTGCCATGCCATGGCCTCTGGCTGGCACACGGCAGGAGCTGTGCTGGGACCTCGAGGCTGCAGTGGGAGCACAGCACCGAGCCCCTCCTTCCCTTGGGGGCAGCTCTGCTCAGAGCCACCCCGGGCAGTGCTGCTGTGACTCCGGAGTGGCTCTGGCACTGGGCAGCGCAGGCTGTGCCCGTTCCTGTGCTGTGATGAGAGCGGGAGCCGTGGGGCACAGGCCGGGACAGGGCTGGCAGGGGCCGGGGACGGCCGGGACAGGGCGCAGGGAGGAAGGGGCTGCCCCGGGCGGGCGGTGCCGGGCAGGAAGCAGCCGGTGTTGGTGTTTCCGTGGGTGCCAGCGCTAGTTGTGCCTCTCTGGAGCCCCACGGGAAGGCGGTGCGGGGCTGAGGGGGCACCTGTGATAGTCCGGGTGTATGGGAGGTGCTGGCCTGGTCTGGGGGAGCTGCTGCTGGCTTGACCCGGATGCAGCCCCCCGGCTGACCCTGCCGCGCCCCTGTCTCCTCGCAGATCTGCAACTGGTTCATCAACGCGCGGCGGCGGCTGCTCCCCGATATGCTGCGCAAGGACGGCAAGGACCCCAATCAGTTCACCATCTCCCGCCGCGGGGGCAAAGCCGGCGACGCGGCCGTGCCGCGGGGCGCTGCCGCCGGCTCGGGGCTGCTCGTGGTGCCGCCCGCGGGCGCCTCCAAGGTGCTGTCCATGTCGGTGTGCCCGCAGGTACTGTGCCACCCGGCGCGGGCGCTGGCCGTGGTGAGCGCCCACAGCCCCGAGTGGGAGAAGCCGCCCGGGCCCGAGGCCGTGCCCAGGCCCGGCAGCACCCTGACCCTGCTGGCGCGGGCCGAGGCGGGCAGCCCCACACCCGGACTCTTCAACACGCCGCCCCCCACGCCCCCCGAGCTCTTCGGGGACGACTTCAGCAGCTTCCAGCTGCTGGTGGAGGTGGCCCTGCAGAAGGCAGCCGAGCTGGAGCGGCAGCGGCAGGGGGGGCAGCTGCCCCTGGCTCCCCACACCGAGCCCCCCGCAGCCTCCAAATAACGTCGGGCCGGGCCCCGCAGGGTGCCCTTCTCGGGGGGGGCCCGACCCTCCCGGCCTCCGCCACACCCCCACAGCCCATCCCAGGAGCGGCTCCTGCCTCCCGGGGGCTCTGCTGTCTCTCGGCAGCCACGGCGGCAGAGGAAGGCCTGTCCCAGCCCGCCATCCTCCCGCTGGGAGATGCCCTGGCTGCCGAGCACGGTACCCCGGCCGTGCAGGGCCCGCCGTGCCCAGCCCTCAGCGCTGGCCGTGCCCTGTCCCTGCGGCGCGGCCGGAGCGGGCGCTGGAGCTCCCCTGGAAAACCTGCTGATCTCTTCCTGTCCTGCAGACAAGAGTCCAGCCAGCTCCGTTTCTTCAGGGAGACAAAGAGAACCTATTTTTTTAATGCCAGTGTCTATTTTAAGGACTGTGGATGAATAGCTTTGTCTCCCAAATTGCTGATCTTTTCCCCTTCCCACCCTTCTCCCCCGGCCCCCCTTTTGTTTTTGGGGGGGCTTTCTGTTTCCTGGTGTTGGCCAGGGGCCCTGCCTTGCCCAGGGAAGGGCAAAGGACAGATGAACTGGAAACATGGAGTCTGTGGCATTTTATCATGGAAAAAATAGGACCCTCCTCTTCCTTTTTAGGTTGTTCTGGATGCTGCCAGTAGAAATCTCTATGGTGCTGTTTAGCAAGATTTTTTTAACATTTTCCCTTTAATTGTGATTTATTACATGATTATTACTTTTTTTTTTTTTTTTTTTTTTCCATTTCCACACCATCCCCACGTTCCCCTCGCGCTCATGCTGAATGTGTGCATGCTGTGCCGAGAGCAGTGAGCGCATGGCCAAGCCTGGGCAGAGCTGAGACTGTGAATTTTGTACCCGACTTCATTTTCTTTTTTATTTTATTTTATTTTATTTTCCATAAAACCTTTGGAAGGAGGCGTGGTGAGGGCACGGCCATGTGCGCCCTGCAAGTGCAGCGCGGGGTTGGTTCCTGAGGAGCAGCGCTGGGCAGGCGGAGGATGGAGATGTCTCTCCCTGTCCCCTCCCCTTTCAGGGTGGCTGTGCGGTGCTGGGGACCTCTAGTGACAAACTGGCGTGTGCTGGGAGCGGCCGGGCCTGGCGGGGTTTGGGGCTCTGGGGCAGCTCCTGGCTGGGTGTCACTTGCTGTCCCTGGGTGCTGTGCCGGGGTCAGGTACCCTGTGGGATGTGAGTTAATGACTGTGCCCTGTCTAGAGGGCCACTAATCCCGCCGGTAATTAGCCAGATGAGTTGATGACTAGAGGGGGTAAAGCTGCAGGACTGGGAACTCTGCGGGGCTGGGGGAGAGCACTGGAGGGGACGGGGCTGGAAGGGAAAAGCTCTGATTTGGGGGACTGGTGTATTCCCACCCCCCATTTCTTCAGCGAGAAAGTGCCAGGGGAGAGGGTGCTTGGGAAGGCTTCCCAATAGCATCACCTTGGCAGGTGCCCTGTGCAGTGCTGGGGTGGCACTGGGGTGGGTGGGTGCCCATCATATTCCTCTCACCCCTGCCTTCATTTCTATGTCCAGCCTTCGTTCGCCCTTTGTCTCCTTTCCAGGGAAAGTCCTCATTTTTGGGACTCCCTCTTTCACCTTGTCATCCCCCCTGCAAATCTGTCCCTTCCCCTGGGGGAGGGAGAGGCTCTTCGGCCTCCTACTCGTCTTGCCCCTGTCAAACTGAAGTGGTTTTCTTCCCCCAGAGCTGTACCTGTGCCAGGGGCTGGTGCTGCTGCCCTGGGATGCACCAGAGAGTTGGGAGGGCAGGAGTTATTGGAATTAAATTTATGGAGAAATAACAAACTACTGTAAATATCTTTTTGTTTGTTTTTCTATTGTCAAATAAAAGTTTTTTTTAGTTTTGGTTGTTATTTTTAAATATGAGCTGTGTGTCAGAGTGAACTGTGTCATTTGTGGGTGCCTTACTTGGTTCTACAGCACCAGGAGAAACCCCTGGGCCACCCTTGAATAGCACCTGGGTGTCCCCCACTCCCCATGAGCTGTTGGGACTTTGTGCTTGGGTGAGTGATGTGGGATGGGGAACATTCCAATGGGAGTGGGGGGCTGGAACCTGGGCAGGGCCTGCCAGCCCAGCTTGGCGGTCTGCACTGTGACAGGGGGTCACAGCTGGGGACACCACAGCTCTGCAGCCCCAGGCAGCACCTCGGGGCTCCTGAGCTGCACACAGGAGCCCGTGCCTCCAGCAGGGCCTGGGGACCCCAGGCACGTCCAGGAGAGCCTCGGGGACCTGTTCCCACCACAAAGCCCGGCAGCTCCCGGGGCTCCGGACACGGTGCTGAGGGACAGTGTGGGGGTACAGGGGTCACCTGGGGGTGGCACCGCTCTGGCCTCCCCACACCCACCTCCATCCTCTCTCAGGGCATCAGCTGGAGCTGGTGCTGCTGGGAGGGGTCCTCCAGGGCATCCCCAGCCCGGCAGCCCCAGAGGCTCTGAGCTGGGCACACAGAACAGCCTCATTAATGTGACACTCTTGTACTTCCTAGCCTGGTTAAAGACCATTTAGGCACAGTCCCCTCCCATGGGCAGGGACACCTCCCACTACCTCAGGTTGCTCCAAGACCTGTCCAACCTGGCCTTGGACACTTCTAGGGTTGCGGCAGCCAGAGCTGCTCTGGGCATCCTGTGCCAGAGCCTCCCCACCCTCACAGGGAGGAATTTCTTTTCAATATCCCATCTATCCTTGATGTCTGTTAATGTGAAGCTGTTCCCATCCCTTGTCCCCAGTCCCACTCCAGCCCTCTTGGAGCCCCTTTATGCTCAGGAAGGGGCTCTCAGCTCTCCCCAGAGCGTTCCCTTCTCCAGGTTGAACACTTCCAGCTCTCCCAGCCTTTCATACTTTTCCCTCCGCTGGCAGCCCAACGCTCCCTGTGAGTGGGTGAGGCTCCGGGGCCCCTCCCTTGGCAGCCGCCCCCCATGGCTGGGGCGGGGCGCGCCCGGGCCGTGCCCAAAGCACCGCAAGGAGCGGGGACTGCGGCGCATCCAGCGGGTCCGAGTTCCCGCGGGGGACCGGGGGCAGTGCCGGGATGGTGCTGGAACCGTGGCCTGGGATGGTCCCGGCGACAGGCGCTGCCCCTCTCCGTGCGGGGACCGTGCCATAGCCAGGCACAGCGAGCCGAGCCGGCGCCGCCGCGAATTCCTGGGGATCCCGGGGGAACGGGCACTGCGCGGCCGGGACGGGGCCCGAGAGCGGATCGTGACGCCGGGAGAGCGTGGGGCTGCAGCGCCCGGCCGAGACCAGGACACAGACGGGGACAGGGGACACAGACACGGACCAGGACCAGGACCAGGACCTGGAACTAGGACACGGACAGGAACACGGACCCAGGCGAGCACGGCACCCTCTGGCCCAGCCTACCGGAGCTGGGCACGGAGCAAGATGAGGCCACGCCCACCACCCCCTCGGGCCCCGCCCTCTCGCGGCCATTCGCCGCAGCGGCACATACTGTGCTATGATTGGTTGATACGACCCGGAAGTACTTTGACACACGGCCTCCTCCCTCTGTATCCACTGGGGGCGGCCATTTTGTTTCACCCGCCATCTTATGGCAGGGCGCAGCCATTTTGTAAAACGTCACACCGCCCTCTGATTGGCAGGCAGCCATCTCGTGACACCACCATCCCCACGTGATCTCTGGAAGCCCCGTGATTGGCTGCCCGCGTCCTTTGGGCTCAGAATAAACAGGTGGATTCAAGGAGAGGGTATGAAATTATTTATAAAAGGGGTGTTAAATATCTACAACAAATCTTCTAAGATTTATAAAAGGTGTGTTTAAATATGTACAACACATTTTTGTACACGTGTTACACATATTTATATGTATATATGGATACAAAAGTTAAAACTCTACCTCTGTATTCATATATATTCTAATATATGTAGGTAAATTTAAAATAATGTATTAATTATAAGATACAAAACCAGATTAAAATTAATTAATTTTTACAGCCTTATAAATTCACTTACATGTTAAAATATATGCACATATATATGTACAAATCCATATTATGTCAGAACATAAATATTACAAGCAAGCCCAGCCCAGGGCAGCAAGGATTGTTTCACCACTCCATGAGCAGCAGCTGGGAAGAGTAAATGATAAAAGTAAATAAATTAACCCCCACATTTCCTTGGGCGTTCCCCCTTTCTATGCCAGAGATCCCTAAAGCTGCATCTTTACAATCCCCCCCCAAATCCAACAGTGCAACCCAACCATGTCTCTGCCCCCACGGACTCTTTAGTTTGGGAAAGGCCTCCAAGATGAGGCCCAGCTGCTGCCAAATCCTGATATGCCCACACAGCTCCAGGTGCCACCTGCACAGACCTTTCCAACACTTCCAGGGCCAGGGACTCTTCTGCCCTGGGCAGTACTGCTCACATTTTCCATGAAGGACTTTCCCCCAATAGCCAATGTAAACCTCCCCTGGAGCAACCTGAAGCTGCTTCCCCTTGTCCCCCTGGGAGCAGAGCCTGACCCCCACTTCCAGTTCAATCTAAATCCCAGCACAGCCAAGCTTTTGGAATTCTATGGCTGGGGGCAGAGACCTCTGAGAGCAGCTTTCATGGACAGCCCCAGACAGCACACAATGGGCAGCAGGCATCATTCAGGATTTCACTTTTATTTATTTTTTGCCTTCTGGATCACCAACTCTCACTGAAACCACTGGGATTCCCCCTCCACCCCCATGACAGTAGCACACAATCTCCCAACTTGTTCAAACATGTGAAGGAAAAAAAAAAAAAAAATCCCCAGCACGATCCCTCAGGATGGGACAAAAACCTTCAGTGTGAGAGGGTGGCAAAGAATCAGGGGGTGGCAGCTCTGGCTCCAAGGAGCCAGACCAGAAAGGAGACTTACAAAGGGGGAAAAAAATGGGCTAAAAAATATTTAGCAATCCTTCCTCTACCCAGAGAGCAGGGAGATAAGGAAAAAATAGTCATCTGCTTACACACAGGGTATATATTTTTACACACACTTGGACACA